GGGGAGCAGGGGGGAAATGTACTGCAGGAATCTGTCCTTGCTCCATGTGATTGTGGACAACACTGGGCTCTGCAGGCTTGTCCTGGGCTAAGGTTTTGGGGTAGGTTTGTGTGCTCAGGACATCCCTCCTATCTCTCAGCTCCGTGTGATGGAGATCTGGATCCCTTTTGCCATTTCTCCCTTTCCTGTTTATCCCTCCTTTGTTGTATCTCTTTGCATAATTTCCTCAGTTGTGTTCTCCATCCCGTGGGACTGCTGCCCTGTACCTCAGTTCTTGATCCCCCAACCCTGGAAGAAGCATCCTCTGCATGCACCTGATGCGCAACTACCCATCCCCAGGACATGCACCAAAGGGTTTATGCTGTGCTCCATGTCCTGGACTTTCCAAACCCACAGCCCTGCCATGGGCACATGCCAGAGATTTTCAGTAACACCAATGATTTCAGATCATGCGAGGAAACAGACTCAAAATCCTTCTGTGAAGTTATTTTCACCATTGCATGTGCTGTCCGGCTGTGTTGGACAACACATGGGTGGTGTGGTAGATCTGTGCATGCATCTGATGAGAGTACTTGTGTGTCTGTGTCCAAGGTGCAACCGTGTGTTTGCCGTGTGCCCGCCTCCATCCCCTCCGCTGTGCTTGTAGGGAGGCAGAATGCAACTCAGGCTGTGGCTGGCGGCCAGCACCCTGGCAGCAGTGCTGGGCATGGCCCTGCTGGATGATGTGTGTCGGGCACCGGACGGCAAAGATGGCTTCCCGGGAGTCCCTGGCCTCAACGGAAGGCCAGGACAGAAGGGTGACGTGGGAGAGCCAGGTAAGGGGGAGCCAGGGATGCGCGGTGTGGGTGGCCTGAAGCCTCTTGGCAGGAGCATCACGGGCTGTGGGAGCAGCTTGGGTGATGCCAGATGTGCATGAACTGCTCTTCCTCACCACCTCTTCCCAGGGAAATCAACACGGACGACAGGCATGCAGGGACCCAAAGGGGATGCAGGTGAGCCAGGGCCTCCAGGCATCCCAGGGAACCGAGGCTACCATGGCATATATGGCCCCCCCGGGGTCCAAGGGCCACCAGGGCCAAAGGGGGAAAAGGGGAGAGCTGGAAACATCCTGGAGCATCCGCGTCCTGCCTTTTCCGCCTCACGGAGGTCCCCACCACCCCTGGGCAGGACGGTGGTGTTTGACAACATCATCACCAATGAGGAGAGATCCTACAGTCCTCAGACCGGAGAGTTCACCTGCCGCATCCCTGGGTTCTACTACTTCGCCTACCAGGTGGTCTCCAGCGGGAACCTCTGCCTGAGCATCACCAAGAACAGCGAGCACGTGGTCAGCTTCTGCGATTACAACAGCCGCAACATCCTGCAGGTGAACTCAGGGAGCAGCGTGCTCAGCCTGGCAGTGGGTGACCGGGTCTCTGTGAGCACTGACCCTACCAGGGACAGCATGATTTACAGCGGCTTCGAGGCAGACAGTGTCTTCAGTGGCTTCATGCTCTTCCCACAGAGGAGCTGAGGGACTGTCAGCCTGGACCTGCTTAGCAACAGAGCATTGCGGTGTCTGTGCCTGCATGTGTTTTTCCCCTAGGAGTGACAGGGATGGCCCCACACTGAGCCACCAGATGGGTCCTGTGCTCCCACCAGTGTCACAAAGGGGCCAGGCTGCGGGTCACCACTGCAGCAATGAGACCCCTGCTAGCAGTTACCTCCATGCTGAGCCTGCCTGTTCCATCCTGGAGGCAGAGGATTCCTGGCCCGAGCAGCCCTTTCTCCTCCTGGTCATGCAGAGCCCACACAAGAGGGGCCCAGTTGTCACTGGGGCTGTTCACCACCTGTGGCTCTCCGCTCTGAGTGGGAAATCACTGTGTGCCACTGCTTCTGCTACACTAACCATTGCAAATGTCTTTATGACACTGGGCCACTACTACCTCTCACATCCTCCCCATCGGTATAAATAAACTCTTCTTCTACAACAACCACTTGGGTTTTCTTTCCTATTCATGTCTCTTCCCTAAGCCATCAGTGTCCTGGCCACTTCCCAAGCTGCCCAGGGAGAGAAGTGATCCCAGCTTGCCCCTGGCCAAATGCAGACCCTGACTGTGAAGGCAGACCAGGAGGGAACTGAGTGTACAAGCAGAGCTGGCACAGGGAGGAAAAGGAAATCTCTCGGACTAACCTATGTGTGTCCTTTCTCTGATAAGTCCAAGCTAGCTGTCCTGTACAAGGGTAAATACAAGTCGATCACACACCTCACCCACATGGTCCTCTCTTGGTACCAAAACTCTTCCAGGAAGGGGAAAGACAGCTGTGGTCCTCCAGACTTTCAGCAAGGAGAAACAGGGGCATCAGGGTGATTGATGGTGTTGTGGGGTGATGGTGGTAGGGTTGTGAGGCGATTTCTCTCTTTGGCTTGGGGTGAGACTAGTGAGCAGTATGGCAGGCTGGGTAGGTATCAGGCAGCCAGAAAGCATCAGGGAAGCCATGTAGATGCCATACCCTGGGACTGCTACTCAGAGGAGCTGCTACACAGAGGAGCTGCTACACACATGTTGGGCAGTCAAGTGTCTGCTTTCCTGGAGCAGTGGGGAGGAGGCCAGGTCACCTGTGAGGAGCAACACCAGGGATGCTGGGGCCCCAGCAAATCCAGCACCCAGCAGAGCTGGTGGAACACAGGGCAAGGTGCAGAAAGGGCAAGGTGCAGAAAGGACAGCCAGCCTGCTGATCAGAAACCCTGAAGGAGAAACATCCTTCAGTCCCACTGCCTAGAGGAGCAGCATCTCCCATCAGAGCCAGGCAATGACCTTGCACCAGCCCCTTGTTGCACAGGCATCTCTGGCTCCATGGAGCTGGCATGGTGCTCTGCTCCCCATCCTCTTGCTGCCCTTCTGCTCAGAAACAAGTTAAGGATGGGCGGAAAGCTAGTCCCTGTGGCAGTTGGAGTGTTTGTGGCACATCTCTTGTCAGGGGTTCGTCCCACCTCTGTCCTTCCAGCCTCTGCTGCTGCAGTGGCACAAGCACAGGTCTCACTGGACACCCAGGAAAGCGCTTGCTGAGGGGAAACAATCAGGCAGGAGGATGTGAAACTCCGCTGGGGGCCAGCTGGGGGTTCTGGGTCCCCAAGGGCCCTTTCCTAACTCCGCAACTTCCTCTGGGAGGATTTCATGAAGTGACCCACGCTGTGCTGTGCTGGCAGGCAGTGCCCACAGCAGCCAGAGAGCTCAGCACTGCAGGATCCCGTGCCCTGCTGCCCCCATAAGAGGTAAGAGGTGCTGCAAAGTCCATCTCTTTGGGGTGGGCTGCATGGGGACTGGGGGTCCAGCAGCATGGCACAGTGCTGGACTGTGTAAGAGGAGGAGAATGAGACAAGAGGCACTGCCAGGCTGCACACATCATGGAGCAGGGGGGGATGCCCACTTGTCCTTGCTGGGGGAAGACCCAGTCCTGTGGGTCAGGCACTGTCCTGGGAGATCGCCAGCTAATGGGGAGCTTGATCCTGACAGGCAGAGTCAGGAAAGTCAGTCTGCTGCTAGAGGAGGGGTGAGATCAGCTGAGTCCAGGGAGCTCCAGCCTCAGTGCAGCATGGTGCAACAGTCTTCAGTGGCATATGCGTCTGCAGGGGGTTCCAGACACTGGACCGGCAGAGCCTCTGGGCTGGCCATGGGTACCACAACACCTCATGGCTCCATCCAGACTGAAAGTCCAACCCTCCATGTGCCATCAGGGGCTGCCCTGGGGATGATGGTGAGCCCAGGGTCCACCTCCACATATTCTCCTCCCCACTGCCTGGCAATTGGTATGAGTGGGATACTGAGGGCACATCCATTGCAGTTAGGTGCTCCTGGTGCAGTCAGCCTCATAGCACAGTACCTCCTTTGCCCCATGGCCTGCAAGCCACACTGCTGTGGCCCCTCACCCCAGCACTTTCTTTCCCTTTCCATGCTCCAGAGCACCAAAATGGGGCAGAGCTTCAGGGAGCAGCTCCATCTGGCCCTCGCCCTCCTACTCTTGAATCTGGGGTCTGCTGTGACCAGGGAAACCCCTCACAGCTGCTATGGGGCTCCAGGTCTGCCAGGCATGCCGGGTGCACCAGGCAAGGATGGCCGGGATGGGCTGAAAGGAGCCAAAGGCGAGCCAGGTGAGTGGACAAGGAGGGGAACCACACAGGCTGTTGAAGGGGAGCTATTGAGTCCTCCATGGCTGGTCTGCCTTGGTTTGCAGGCCATGGAGAGCATCCTCTGTGGACAGGGCAGGAGGAGAGGAGGCTAGAGAGAGGCAACAACCCTCTCCTGCTCAAGGGACGGGGGTGGAGGAGCCTCTCCCCACATCCTGACATTGATGCTGACTCCCTTTCACTCCCCACCACCCCACAGGCATCCCAGCCAATCTTGCATCACAAGGACCCAAGGGCATGAAAGGGGAACCAGGCAGCCCTGGCTTGCCAGGCAAGACTGGCCCCATCGGTCCCCCTGGTCCCCCTGGAGACCCTGGGACAATGGGCATGGCTGGAGAGCCAGGTATGCCGGGCAGCTACAAGCAGAAGTACCAGTCAGCATTTTCAGTGACGAGGCAGACCAACCAACACCCCATGAAGAACACCCCCGTGGTGTTCAACCATGTCATCACCAACACCAACCACGACTATGACACCACCACAGGCAAGTTCACCTGCAACCACCCTGGCCTCTACTACTTCATCTTCCACACCTCACTGACAGCCAACCTCTGCGTCCTCCTGTACAAGGATGGGAACAAGATGGCCAGCTTCTGCGACCACAAGACCAACACTGTCCAGGTCAGCTCTGGTGGGATCCTCCTCCACCTAGGTGCTGGGAACCAGGTCTGGCTGGAGGTGAATGACTACAACAGCATGGTGGGCATCGGCAATTCCGACAGCATCTTCTCAGGGTTCCTGCTCTTCCCAGACTAGAGGACCACCAGAGCTCACCCCAGCCTGCTGACCCCTTCACCCTGCCCTGCAAATGCTGCTGCTCATCACCAGGCTGTTGCTGACGCTACCGGTTTCTCTACTGGGTGGGAGGCCCCAGTGGGGGGGGTCAGTCCCAGCCACCAGACACAACCCCTGGACTGGGGACTGAGCACAGGCAGCTGCTGAGCAGGGGGAACAGGCACATCTGGATGCATCTGCACCCAGAGTGATGATGCCAAGCCCGTGGGGTCCTGCTGGCACTGCCACATGTATCCACCCTGATAAGCCTATGTTACCTTCTGCTGCTGAAGCCAGAGGTCTCTCTGTGTCTCTCCCCTTCCCACCTGGGTTGAACCAGGGACAGCCAGGTGTTCTGGAGCAGGCTTGCAGCAGCACCTTTGTCATAACCCAGCTGTAGAAAGTGACAATAAAACCTTCCCCAATGTGCCTGGCCTATTGTGGTTTTTCCTCCATGACTTGCCTTTCTGCATGTGGAGCCCACGTGTGGCTGGACGAACGCTGTGTGCATGTGTGCACAACACCTGGACATCTGTGTGGCATCAGAATGTCCCTGAGACCTCGCTGGCTTGGCCGTGCTCAGCATGAGTGAGCATCACACAGTGTTGACAGCCCTGGCTTTGCTCGATGGGGTAGGACCCCCAGGTACACTGACTGCAGGAAGGGGACGGTTCCCGTGCCCATGCACTCAGCCACCACCCTAGGGGGGAATTAAGACTCCTGCAGGCAGGGGCCCCGATACTCCCCTTCTCCTCCAAGTGGGTGCAATTCAGTTGCAGAGGGCCACAGAGCATTCATCAAACCTCACAGCCGTGCCTCGGGTGGCTGGGACAGCCCCAGCCTGCCAGCCTCACCAGGGTCAGGATAGGGGAAGCACTGGCTTCCCTGAGCCAGACCAAAGGAGCTCATGGCTGTGGAGGCCACAGACCCCACCAAAACCCAATGGAGATTCCTCCCGGTGTCACACATTGTACAGTGGAAAAGGAGGTCATCTACCCTGAACATCCTGTGCTTCACCTCTGCAAGGCACCAGCAGAGAGCAAAACTGGAAATGCTTTTCCCACAGGGTGAGATTTAGGAGACCCTGGGGGACAAGTTCAAGATGATGGATGCTGAGACCCTGTAGCATCTTCTGGGCCTGCTGGTACCCCCCAACAGAGCTGGGTATGCGTGGAGAAGCCTGGGGGATGCTAGCTAAGTGCATGCACATTTCTGCAGTCCTGAGGGGTTACCCCAAATTTGTCTGGAGCTCATGGCAGCGTTCCCCACAGCGAGCACACATGAGAAGGACCCATGGACCCTGCAGGGCAGAGCGGACATCTCTCTGCTCCCTGGGGCCAGAGCTGGATGCCTGAGGGGCGCCAGGGTGCTGTTTGGGGACAGCATGTTCTGCTGAGCTGACACCATTCGTGGCGGATATGAAAATGCCACTGAAGAAAGGGTAGGAGCTAAAGATAAAAAAGGGATGTGGCCCAGATCCTTTCACAATAACCCCTGCAGCAAACTTCTGCTTCTCCTCACGGTCAGTTCCAAGAGGGACACTGGTGTGTCCTGCTCCATCTCCCCATCCGTGCAACGAGATGTTCAAGGTAAGAGCGAGACATCAGCAAGGCTAAGCCTCATCTTCTCCCTGCAGGTAGGAGCACATGGGGAACCTGGGAGCAGCAGGGTGACAGTCATCCCCTGCATCACTGGCTCTTCAGTGTGGCTTAGGGCAGGAGAGAAAGGGGGCTGCTGGGCTGGAGGTGGTGGAGACCCCTGATGGGACCCTGCCCCTCCTGCTCCACCTGGGTCAAAGGAGAAATGGAAAGGGGAGATTGCAAAGGCCCAGAGGGGTGATCAGGGACTGAGTGTCAGTCTGGAAGGTGTCTTGGGGGTGCTCTCCTGCCCTGAGATACTCTTGTTTGCCTGGACCTGGGCTGGGAGCCTGCGGATCGGTCCTTGTACCTGCTGCATCCGAATTGGAGCTGCTGTGGCTGGAGGACCCAACTCACTGACCTCTTCTCCTGCTGACACCGGAGTTTCAGTGCTGGGAAAGTCCACCTGAGGTCAGAGTGTGGCTGGGGTGATGTGTCGTCCAGATGCAGCCCCCAGATGCCCAGTGCTTACCACACATGCACCTGCATCAGGAGCTAGGGGAAGTAGCTGAGCTGTGGGATGCAGGGACGGCAGAAGGAAGATGGGACCCCAGGGACTGGAAGCCCATGTGACTATCCCAGTAAGGCCTATTAGATAGAGAAATGCCTCTGGGATGATAGAGGTGTGTGGCAGGACACAATGGGAACCTGCAGAGATTAGGAGGGCAGGTTTGGGGATTTCATTGCCATCTGCAAGGACTAAAGCTATCCCTCAGATATGCTGGTGGAAAGCAAGAGCTGTCCCCTTGCAGATGATGAAACTGCTCGGGCCTGGGGAAGGATTTTACCCTGCAGATGTGGTCCTAAGATGGGATGGAGAATTTGTCCTCTGAGGGAGCAGTGGGGACTCAGAGCAGTAGGGACCTACAGCACCATAGCCAGGCTGGACATCAGACCGCTACGACAGGCTAACCTGTCCCCAGATATCCATGTGGCTGAAGCTCTGGGGACTTGTAAACCAGTAATTTAAGAGTGAGAAGAGACTGACAAGCCCTCCCATGCCCAAAGGGGCTGGTCCCTCCAATGCCATCAGGAGAGCAGATATGGCTCTGCAGCAGGATGTTTTCCCTCCCTGATGATATTATCCAGATGTGCTTCCAGTCATCGTCCTCCAGAGCAGCACAGAGAGCCTCCCCCATCCCTCCCGCTGCCCAAGACAAGCCTCTCAACATCCTTCTGTGCTCCAGCAGATGCAGACTGTGTGGGTGATGCTGATCTGCCTGGCTGGAGGGCAGCTTGCCAGTGCCACAATCTGCAAGACCTATGGCACCATCCCAGGCATTCCAGGGTTACCAGGACAGCCTGGCAGCAATGGCAGAGATGGGGAGAATGGCCTAAAGGGTGAGCCAGGTAAGGAGGAGGCTGCAGGTGTGGAAAATGCCGTCTTATGAATACAGAGAGCAGGAACATGCAGTGCCGGGCGCATGGTCCTGGGAAAACAATCCATTTTCCACCAGTCCCTTTGGGGTGTTATCAAGTGAGTGTGATGCTTGGGGACAGAGGGGCTGGACAAACTGAAGCGCCCTGAAGAACCTAGGGAGGGAGGGTGCATGAAAGCAAGAGATGTCACACCTGCCAGGTGGGCAGGGGTCTCTGTTGACCTGCACCCCAGAACAGATACTGGCAGTTTCCTTCCCACTGCCCCCTCTGCAGACCTGTGGGGCTCAGCTGCAACCACAATGACTCTTCCTCCTGCTTTCTAGGTCCCCCTGGCCAGGCAGAGCATGAAGGAGACATGGGGGAGAAGGGAGACCCAGGCCTACCAGGGCATCCTGGGAAGATCGGCCCCACGGGTCCGCCGGGTTCAAAGGGATTACCAGGTCCCATGGGACACCGTGGCCCTCAGGGGGATTCTGGTGAATACAAGACCACCCTCAGGTCCGCTTTCTCCGCTGCCAGGACCCTCAGCTCCTACCCACGCCGGGAGCAGCCCATCCGGTTTGACCGCATCATCACCAATGAGAAGGACCATTATGAGAACCGGTATGGCCGTTTCAACTGTCGGGTCCCAGGCATCTACTACTTCACCTACCATGTCACCTCCAGGAACAACCTGTGCCTCAGTGTGAAAAAGGGCCGGGGTGGCAGCAGGGGCGAGAAGGTGGTGACCTTCTGCGACTACGTGCAAGGCAGCTACCAGGTTACCACAGGTGGGGTGGTCCTGAAGATGGCAGCCAACGAGTCTGTCTGGCTGGAGACAACGGAAAAGAACTCCCTAGTGGGGATTGAAGGGTCTGACAACATCTTCTCTGGTTTCCTCATCTTCCCGGAGGTTTAGCCACTGAAAGTGTCTCTCTGCAGCCCTTCTCCTGCTGCTGGATGGCCCCTGCAGGGCTGAGGACTCTTCCCCTGGAAATTATGCTTTGCTCCAGATTTGGTGCCCTAAGTGCATTGTTGCCAGTCTTGCACATTAAATAACAGCTCCTTGTGCCACTGTGTCTTTCCTTCTTCCCCTCCACCCCCCGCCCTCAAATGCTCAGATACCCGGGGCATTGCCTCCTGCAGAGCTAGGGGCAGCCTAGGCCATTAGCGTCCCATTACCGGTGAGCAAAGCTCCTGCTGCAGACCAGGGTGAGTGTCTCCTTCCAGAGCCACCCAGAGAAAGTCCCAGCACAGGGTTAGAAAAACAGGGAGAGGAAGCCTGATCTCTAGCAGGGGGCGGGACACATGACATAGTGGGAAATTTGGGGCCACTGGGTGCTGGTAATAGATGGGGAGATGCTGGAGATGGTGCTGGAGGTGGTCCTGTACTGGACACTTCTGAGGTTGGTAGGATATGGGGACACCAACCTCTCAGACTTTTTTTGGGGGTGGTGGTGACAATAATATCCACAAAAGTTTGTCAAAGCTAGTGACAAGATGAACCAGGTGGGTGTGGGGAAGCCAGAGCTTGATGCCATGATGGGAGAGGAGTGGGGCACACAGCTGTTCCCTGGTGCAGCTGGGCAGAGTCTGGAGCAGTCCCATAACCCCAGCAGAGGACCAACACATGCAAGTCCTATAGCACAGCCAAGCCCTCCCAGGTAGGTCTTTATTAATAGTAGAGCTGATGGACCCAAGGACCTCCAGATGCATAAGAGCTGAAGACCCCAAAGATGTCCCTATCCCTGGGGCAGGTCACAGTCCAGCATCGTACCTGCTGCCTGCAGCCCCCAGCCGTGGCAGCTGCAGGGTGTGAAGCCCATGGGGGTGCACACGAGGTGCTCAGGACACAGAAGGTGAGAATTTTTGGAGGGGTCTGGGATTTGAAAGGGGCTGGATGAAGGGGATGATGATAAAGGGTCTTGGGGGTGGGTAGGATACGGACTGGCTTTTACTGAGCATGACCACTGAGCTCTCGGGGTCTGCTTGTGGGTCCAGGGCCCCACAGCTCTGGGCTGCACAGGTCTGCCTGCACCAGCGCACGACGGTGACCGGCACTGGCAGGGCCAGCTTGAAGGCTCCAGCTTTTGTCCGGGATAATTCGCCGGCAGGTGGCACTGGAGACTGGCTCAGCCCGCACCCCGCCAGCGGGAGCATCCTTGTCCCGCAGGCTGGGGGGGCGAAGCTTGCAGGGACCGGGCAGAAGCGTGAGGCCCGTCAGGTCTGGGAGGAGGCACCGGGCAGGATCAGTGCCGCCTCTTGTGGCCCTGGGTTAAAGCCTTGTCCTCATCGCTTTATCCTTCCCCCAGCAAAACCTGTGGCTTCTGTCCCAGGGGGTGCAGCCGCCCTGTGCTCCCAGACCTCTACCTCCCGTCAGAAAGCCAGGGTGAGCTGTTTGGTGTTGCACCCCAAAGCTCTCCCTGTGCAGCAGCACTGGGCTGCTTTTGAAATGCCGCTGCAATGCTCATGCCATTTTGGAGCTGGACACACAACATCCCAAATAAAATCGGTCAGCAGGGCAGGTGGAGGAAAAGAGTATGTATTTGACCCCCAAAACAGGCTGGGCAGCATACACCAGCTAAGTCTCCTGAACCCTCAGCAAGTCTGCAAGGAGACACCAAACCAAAGAGCAGTCGATACACTGGAGGGCAAGGCTGCTGTTCAAAGAGCCTTGACAGGCTGGAGAAATGAGCTGGCAGGAGCCTACTGACATTTAATGGAGATAAATGCAAAGTCCTTCCTCTGGCATGGGATAACCCCATGCAATAGGACAGGCAAGGGGCAGGAGGAAGCTTTGCAAGAAGGGATCTGGGATGCTGGTAGACAGCAAATTGAAGGTTTCTGCCTTTCTGAGTAATCAATATAATCATTTCGGACTTTTGAAAAGGTCTTTGTCAGGACCCCTCTGGAGTGGAGCTTGTTTTACTTTTAAAACTAATGTCTGACCTAACCTGAGCACAAGCCAAAGGGCTTCTAGGGTCTTGGCTGTACCTGGAGAGAGTCAGAGGGCAGTGCAGGTACCAACTGTCTCTAAAGTGCAGCTCACTGTATCTATGCAGCTGGAAAAGAGATGCACAGGGCATTGCTTCCTCCTGTGGGTCTTAGCCAGCACCCAGCAATGCCACCTCAGGCATTAGCTCCATGGGACAGCAGCTCTCTGCTTCCCTGAAACTGCCACTGCACGGGCCATGGAGCAGCACACCCCTCAGGTATCCAAAACGGATGAGACAAGGCGGGGAGGGAGCCATGAGCGACCGGGGTGGGTGGTGGTCTGTGCAACATCACTGTTCTGTTCTTTCAGGGCTGCTCAGTGTGGGCAGTGTGTTTCTGACCCTACAGGAACCCCTAAAGCCCCAGGCCTCCACCCTAGGGCAGCTGGAGAAGACCACCCCTCCTCTCAAGCTGTTATTATAGCACTCACTGAGGCCAGAGCCAAAATGCAGATTCCCTCTCCCACAGGACCATCCACAGCAGGGCTCTGGGTTTCCGCCCTGTGGGAGAAACCCTCTGCAAGACCCTCAGTGATGCTTGGGAACACAGCAAGGAAAAATAAAGCTGGTCTGGGTA